CTGGAACCCACGAGCATCATGGCAGGGAGAACCACAGAGACAGGCAGACAGGCATGGCACTTGAGCAGTAGCAGAAACCTTACATGTTGAGACAACAAAAGGGGACAGGGACAGCTAAATGAGAAAGGTAAATGAGACTTTTCCAATCTCAAAGCCACCCCAGTGACACACCTCCTTCAAGGCCACACTTTCTAATCCTTAGCAAGCAGTTCCACAAATGGCAACAAGCATTCAAATCTATGACCCTCTGGGGCCATTCTCCTTCAAACCACTAAGATTGTAACATTAAACACATAAAATAAATGAAGTAACACTGATATAAAAGAATCTAATGAATATGGCAGAAGGGAGTATTTTCAAATTAGATAGGGAAGAAACACTGCCTCAGGCGATCAAAGGTAACAATATCAGAACTAGAAAATTATTTGAGTGGATAAGTGCTTGCCATACAGGCATGAAGATCTGAATTCAGAGCTCAGATTCTCCAGGACCCACATAAAAAGTTGGATTCTTTTAGCATGTGCCTATAAGCCTAGTGCTGGGCAGCTGGAAACCAGAGGATTTCTGGGTATTGTTGGCCAGCCAGTGTAACCAAACCAGTGACCTCCATGTCTACTGACCGAACTTTTTTGTTGTTACTATTGTTGTTCAAAAAGCAAGGTAAAAATCAATTGAAGAAAGTTGTGATGTTGACCTCTATCTAGTCCAATATGCACATAGGCAAATACACATTTAAACCCATGTGAAACATAAATCAGGAATAAATCAAGATGATATTATAAAACATTATAAAATCACAAAATACCACAACCTCAATCTAACCATAAGAAGAAAAATCAGACAACTCCTGAGAGACATCCTATAAAAAAATCTCAAATACTGGACTGGAGAGATGGCTAAGTAGTTAAGAGCATTGGCTGTTCTTCCAGAGGACCCTGGTTCAACTCCCAGAACTCACATGGCTGCTCACAACCATCTTAAACTCCAATTTCAGGGGATATGAGGCCATCTCCTTGCCTCTGTGGGCATCGGGCAGCACAGACACACATATATGAAAAAGATCCATATACAATAAGAAAAGTTAAAGTTCCAAATACTAACTCCCAGAAACTGGAATTATCAAACCCAAAGAAAGTCTAAGAAACCACCATACCTCAAGGATCTACAGAAAACTGATAAATATTTGTAGAAATTATGGCAAATAATAACCAAATGCTTCCAGAATTTAACATTAAAAATACACTAAGAGCCAGGTGGTGGTGGTGGTGGTGCATGCCTTTAATCCCAGCACTCGAGAGGTGGACCTCTGTGAATTTGAGACCAGCCTGATCTACAAGAGCAAGTACCAGGATAGGCTCCAAAGCCTGTCTCCAACTGCCCATCCCATTCCCTCCCCCCCCCAAAAAAAAAGAAGAAAGAAAACCACATTAATGCACTGGGCAAGGGTGGCACACGCCTTTTGTTCCAGCACTCTGGAGGCTGAGGCAGAGGCAGGGAGTTCTCAGTGAGTTTGGGGCCACCCTAGTCTAATAGTTCCAGGGCAGCCAGCACTGCTGCACAGTGAAACCCTGTCTTGAAAAAACAAAAAAGAAACAAAACAAGACAACACATTAATATGCAGAACAAGAGAAACAAAGGGATCCCTAGAAAAACCATTTTCAAATTCCCAAAAGACAAAGAGAAGGACTATCTTGTGAACATCAAAAGAAACACTTTATCACACTTGGGAAAAATAGTAGGGTTAAAGGCAGAATTCAAACAAAAGAAACAAAAGAAAAAGACAATCCAATTTTTTGAAAGAAAAACTGTTATTCCGATGAAAAAAAACTAAAATATTCCCAGATGAATGAGTATCCAGCAGTTCACTGAACACACAGTCCTTTGCAAAAAAAATTCTATAGTGAGTCTTATCAACTAAAAACAACAGGACACCTGGATAAAAAGAAATGATACATATCAGAGATGATTAATAAGTTCATAAAAGAACACAACAGAATGCAAAAATGCTTTCTTGTTTTAAGTTTGTGGTTTCTTTGAAAAACATAGGACAGCATAAGAAATAAAAGTAGCACTACATTCTTCATTTGTGACAGATATAGATGCAAGATGTGGGATAATAAGGACTTAGAAAGAACTAAGTTGCTGCATTTAACACAGCTGATTTAGTCATAAATTTAAGTATTTTTTTAAGTCAAAGAGACTTCTATACATCAGCCAGCAAACAATAAAACAATAATTGAAATAATGCAACTTTAAGACTCAATAAGAAACTGCATTGGAGGAACTGCCTCTACCAGAGAGGTCTACTGTCACATCTAAGTGGCATCTTGACTGCGGATTGAGGTGGAAGGGCCCACACCACCATGGGCAGTGTCAACCCTGGGCAGGTAGGCCTGGGCTACACAAGAATGGCAGTTAAATTAAGCCAGTAGGCAGCATCCCCCCAGGTTTCTGCTTCGGTTCTTGCCTTGGCTTCTATTGATGATGGACTATAACCTGCAAGCCAAATGAAGCCTTTCTTTACTGGGTTGCTTGGTTGCTTCTTAGTGTCTTATCACAGCAACACAAAGCAAACTGGAAAAGGTTACAAACCAGAAAGAACTAGTTTAACAAAGAACAATACAGTAAAAGTGACAAAGACTTGAGACAAAGACATGACAAATCTATAGCAAATAACCCCAATCATTAAAAATTACATCAAATGAAAAGGAATATACATCTAAATCAAAAGGCAGAAATAAATAGGCAGATTTCAGAAAAGTAAAATACATGTTCAAGAAACAAAACCACAATAGTATTGAAGTAAAAGGACATAAGACAAACTAAAATAGTAGCTACAGGTTGTATTTGTAACAAAAAACTGGGTTTTGTATCTCAATAAGATACAGTGAGAACAGAATGTATGCACTTAATCAAAATACATGAAGATATCATTCAGCTACTCTACTTAGGATTGGACATACACTTCTCAGTTTTAGGAGGTCCCATTTATTAACCGTTGACACAGTCGTCGATAAGACCAAATGGCAGCCCATAGACTGGGAAAAGATCTTCACCAACCCCACATATAAAAGAGGGCTGATCTACAAAATATACAAAGAAGTCAAGAAACTAGTCGCCAAAACACCAAATACCCTATTAAAAAGTGAGGTACAGAACTGAATAGAGAATTCACAATAGAAGAAACCAAAAATGACTGAAATACATTTAAGTGCTCAACATCCTTAGCCATCAGGGAAATGCAAATCAAAACGACTCTGAGTGACCACCTTACTCCTGCCAGAATGGCTAAAATCAGGAACACCAATGGCAGTTTTATGCTGGAGAGGATGCAGAAAAAAAAAGGAGCGCAAACTTGTACAACCATTTTGGAGATAAGTATGGCAGTTCCTCAGGAAAACGGGAGTCTACCACAAGACCAGGCAATTCCACTCTTAGGCATATACCCAAATGATCCACATCTGTGCAACAAAGACATCTGTTCAATTATGTTCATAGCAGCATTATTTGTAATAGCAAGAACCTGAAGAAACCTAGATGCTCCTCAACTGAAGAATGGATAAAGAAACGTGGTACATTTACACAACTGAGTACTAAACAGCGGGGGGGAAAAAAAAAAAAGAAAAAAGAAAAAAACAATGGAATCTTGACATTTGCAGGCAAGTAAATGGAACTTGAAGAAACCATCCTGAGTGAGGTAACCCAGTCACAAAAAGAGGAACATGGTATGTACTCACTCATATATGGATTTTAGACATAAAGCAAAGGATCACCAGTCTATAATTCACACCACCAGAGAAACTAGGATACAAGGAGGGATCTAAGAGATTCATACAAAGTCCCTCACAGAAAGGGAAAGGAACAAGATCTCCTGAGCATATTGGGAGCAGGGGGGTAGGCAGTGAGTGGAGAGGGGGCTAGGAGAAAGAGAAGGAGAGCAGAGGAAAGTATGTGGGACTAGGAAGTTTGAGTCAGGGGACAAATAGACAAGAGCAAAAAAACAGATGCCATAATAGAGGGAGGCATTATAGGTTTAAAGAGAAAGCTGACTCTAGAGAAATGATCAGAGACCTACGAGGATGACCCCGTCTAATAATCTGAGCACCAGTGGAGAGGTTTAAATGCCCTTCCCTGATAATGAGATTGATAACTAATTTATATGCCATCATACAGGCTTCATCTAATAGGTGTTGGAAACAGAAGCAGACAACCACAGCTAAACACTGAGCCAAACTCCTGGAAACCAGTAGCAGAGAGAAAAGAATGATAAGAAAATGGGGACAAGACCAGGCTACAGAAACCCACAGAAACAGCTGACCTGAACAAGGGAGAGTTCATGGACCCCCAGACTGATATCTGGGAAACCAGCACTGGACCAACTCAGACCCCTGAACATGGGTCTCAATTAGAAGGCTTGGTCAGTCTAAGGGACCTCTGAGAGTGGAACCAGGATGTATTGCTGGTGCACAAAAGGACTTTGGGAGCACATTCCCCATTGAATATTCCCTTAGCCTAGAGGAAGGGACTAGACCCTACTCCAAAAGACTTAACAGATTTTGATGATCCCTCCTGGAAGGCATCACCCTCCCTGTGGAGTGGGTGGGAAATGGGACAGGGAGGGAGGGTCAGGGGACATGGGAAGGATGGAGAGGGAACTGGGATCGATATGCAAAATAAGAAAAAATAATATAAAAAATGAAAAAAAAATCTTCAGTTGACCTACCTTTTATGATGCAAATATCCTAAAAGACAATTCTTTTTCATTGAAGCTAACAGCAGTCAACTTAAAATTTTTCAGCCGAGAAAAGACTTAAAATAACTTTCTCAGGCATTACAAAGTTTTAAAGTTCTCCATTTTGAATGTAATGTCAAATATCTTGGAAATTTCACACATTTCTAAACTTGTGGTAATATATGTAAGACATTTCTGTTGTTAAGATCTGATTTTCTCAGTGGCAAACAGTGCATCAAGACAAAAACCAAGGTAGCAAATTAGGTACCTGGCTCTTTCTCGGGCTGCATCTTCACGGGCTTTTTCTTTCTCTTGCCTCTGCTGTTCAATACGGGCTTCTTGCTCTTTCCTCTTCATCAACAACTCCTCTACACGGGCCTGCCGTTCTGCCTCTAAGGCTCTCTTGCGTTCCTGATGTAAACATTTAAAGTTATTAGAATTACATGTTAAATTACAATAATCAAAGGAGATATAACTAACACAAACATACTCTAGACTATTCCTGGATTGTCAATAGGTACATGATTTCTAAGAATTTAAGCAAAAATTAAATAGCAATGATACATGGTTTTCATGTCATTTACAAGTGTTACACAAAATTATAACATAACCTGAATTGAATTAAACCCTAAGAATTACATACACGTTCATACTTATATGTACATATTATGACACAGTTAGAAAACAAGTTTTAATCAAGTTTGGTGATTCATGATCCACAAAAATATGGCAACTGTATTCCTACAAACAAGTAATAATTTGAAATTGTAATTAGGTGAAAATTCCATTTGCAATAGTATGATAGCTAATCTTGGTTGTCAACTTGATTAACTAAAAGCCAACCAAGCAGCTGGCACATCTATGAAGAATTTTTCTTGGCTGAATTACTTGAAGTGGGAAACCCACTGTAAACCCAGGCCACTTAGCTGGGCATTGTTGGCACACGCTTTTAATCCCAGCACCTGGTAGGCAGAGGCAGGAGGATCTCTGTGAGTTCAAGGCCGGTCTGGTCTACAGAGTGAGTTCCAGGACAGGCTGAAACACAGAAAACCCATATCTCGAAAAACAAAAACAAACAAACAAACAAACAAACAAACAAACAAAAAACCCAGGCCATTTGAGGTAAAAAGACCCACCCTAAATCTGAGCAACATCTCCTGGTGGCAGGGCCATAAAAGAACGCGGGAGAAGGAAGCTTTGTTTTTTGCCTGCTTGTCCTCACTCTCACTCATTTATCCTGTTTCTGAGCCATTCCTTCCCTAGTGCTAGAATCGATTTCCTCAGGATTCCAACACAGACTGAAAACAGGTAGCTCTCTGAGACATCCCTCAGACTCTAGCATCAGTAGATAGACTAAACTATCGTAGATGGCTTTTCTGTCAGGAGACAGTCATTGTTGCACTATCCAGACTGCAGCCTAAGCCACTCTAACACACACACACGCACACAGCACGCTTGCATGCACACATATATATTTCATTCCATTCATTCTGTTCCTTTTGGAAACCTAATACAAATATAATCAAGAAAAGTTTTCTTAAAAATAATGTATTAAGTCCATGGTATGTTTTAAAAACTATAAAATATTTATAATTTAAACTACATAAGGTCCAGATGAATGAAAAGACATTTTCTATCCATACTTATGGTTTTCAATTACAAAGATACAGCTTAGGAAACAGTACTTGCCTTGCACATGTGAGGGAGGCCCTGGACTCAATCACCAGTACTCAAAGCAAAAAAACAGTTTCTTTTTTTGTGAAAACACAATAAAGAAATCACCATAACAAAGAACCTTCTCTGACAATGTCATCCCACTAGCAAAGTAATTATTCCCTCTTCCATAGTACCTCTATAGTTGATATACTTTTTTTCACATTACACTGGGATTTTATGATTTGCCACATGGTTAAATTATTAATTGTTAATAATATTGCTAACATTCCTTGTCCTGGTGAGTTGAGATTTGCTATGTACATGTGTTCCTCATTAGAAAATGATTTGTAATTTCATAACTTCAAACCAAGCCAAAAAGTCTATTTGTAGTACTCAAAGTTATCACAGCTAAAGTTAGTCTCCATTTCTTTAAATACTGCAATTTTTTTTTCCTGTAGCAAAATTCTCCACAGATAAGGGGTTTTTTTTTGTTTTTGTTTTTGTTTTTTTAAAGAAAGAATTAAGATAGACTCTTCACAACAAGGCAATTCATTCCCGAATACTTCCTCCATCACGGAAATCACAGCTGCAGAAATTCAAAGCTAATCAAAGCATCTGATAATACTGCTCAATAAATAATATGGTGCTCTGGTCCTAAGGCAAAGAACTGTCCAAATCTTTATTAACTATTTCAGTAACATTCTTTTTGGGTCAGAAGAAATAATTCTTGCCAAAGGCAATTAAAAAACAACAGATGACAACGTGTCACTGTGGCTGAGTGTATAATCCCAGTTGACATAAGAGGTAATGCTTCAAGGACAAACACTCTTCACTACCATGCTATAGTATGGCATGCACCCTTGGGAACATAGACTAGCTTTTATCTTTCTGACTCTAAGCCTGAGATGTAAACGGTGCTCAGTAAATCCTGAGCAGAATCCTACCTGCACAGCTTCATCACGAGCTTGCTTTTCTTCTTGTCTTCTCTGACGCTCTTCCTGTAATTCATTGAGCCTCTGCTCATATTCCTTCAATTTTGATAAAACATCATGGCGTTTATTCTGAGCTTCAAGGGTATTTATGAATGCAATCTCATTTACCTTCAATGAGAATGAAGAAAGAGTCAGAGTCAAATTAATTCTTAAAAGAGAAAGGTCTGTGCATGCTGCAGCTGCCAACAAAACACCGGTATGAGTTACAGGTGCCTGTAAGCCACCTGATGTAGGTGCTGGGAACCAAATTCAGGTCCTCTGAAGGAGCAGTAGAGCAGAATATATACAGAACAATATTTAAATCAGCAGTAAGTCATGGGGAAAAATAACTATTTTACCCACCAGCATTTACCTCAAAGTAAGCTAACATATATGACAAACCCAAAGGCTTTAATTAGAACTAATTTATGAAGGTGCCATTGAAAATATTTTTAAAACAGCAAACAATTTAGTATTTTAGAAACTATTTTACAAAATTATGCTTAATATGAATTTGTAATGATACACAAACAGACTATATACAATTAGGTATGTTCATTTATTCTAACAATACTTTTATTTTTAAAACTGGTGTACGAAGTAATACATTTCATCATATCTACGAGTAATGGGATTTTCATACTCATGTATCATTAAATGTTGTTGTAACTGGTCCTCTCCCTCAAGTCTTCCCTGTGCTGAGTACGCACTGCTGCCTGGCTGTCTCCTTCATTCATTCAGGTACTCTCCCCATCTACTTTCATGACATGCATTCCACTGCCTTCTCTTTCTCCCTTAACATCTTCTTCACTCATAATCCCCTTTACAGTTTCATAATTTACTCATACACAGAATGAAAATTTAGCTTTCTAAGCCAGGCTTATTTTGCTTAATTTAATGGCTTCCAGTTCTATCCATTTACCACAAGTGTCATGATTTCATCTTTCTTTATGACTGAATAAAATTCTATTGTGAATATGGACCAAATTTTATTTACCCGTTCATCTATTAACCAACAATTAAGCTGGTTCCATGCCCTGGCTTCTGAAAACACAGTATTGCACATGATGTGCAGGTATTTCTCTATGTTGCATGCCGGAGTATTTTGGTTACATACCTAGACGTGGTATGGCTAGGTTATATGGAAGTTGTACTTTTAGCTTTTTTGGCTACACCAATTTACATTTTCAACAATACCATCTGAATGTTCTTATTTCCCCATAACCTCACTTATATTTAGCCATCTCTTCTGTAACTTCTAGTTTGGAGAATATGTTTTCAAAGGCTTCTCTAATGACTCTCTTGATTTCACTGAGATAGATCATCACATCCCCTGATTAGCATTGGTAAGGTTTATTGGTTTTGTTTTCTCTAAGAACCAGCTCTATCATTGATTTTAAGTATTACTCTTTTCATCTCCACTTCATTAATTTCTGCTCTGGTCTTTTTAACTTCTTAGCATGCACTGCTTTGAGGTTTGGAATGTTCTTGCTTTCCTAAGATCTAAAGGTATATAATATTAATATTGAAAAACTTTTGAAGGTTTTTGTTAATGTGAAAACTCTTAGTTACATACTTTCATCTCAGAACTGATTTTGAGACATCTTAAACTACACTTTCATTGTTCACTGAATTCAATAAATACCAATTTCCTCCATGATTTCTTCAATGATTACTAATCAAGACTGTACTATTCAGTTTCCATGTATTTACATAGTTCCTATAGGGGACTGTTTTATGGCTTTCAGGATTGTTTCTGTTTTGTTTTGTTTTGTTTTTTTCTATTTTGCTATTAATTTCTAGTTTGGTGGTACTATGATCTACGATGATGTAAGAAATTATTTCAATTCTTTTGTATTTGGGAAGAAGTGCTCTATTTTAGAAAGAATTGCATGTGTCAGTATCTCTTAGATGGACTATTTTATATATTGGAATGTTCCGTCCACTTGATCTGTGGTGAACTTTTAACTCTAAGGGTGGATGCCTTATGAATAGATTAGAATGTGATATTGAAATCACCTATCACTATTTATTTAGAACTTTTTGATCTTTTATGTCCATCAGTGCTTGTTTTATGAAATCAAGTGCATCAACTTTATATGCATAAACATATGTACAAACATAAAATTGTAGTTATTATAATTACATATAATCATATAACTATCTTCTTGATTGATAAGTTGTCTTATTTATTAAGAGATAGTGGCCTGCTTTACTCTTCTAACATAGTTTGAAGTTTATTTTATCATACAGCAGAACAACCACACCATCTCGTTTTCAGATATCATTCAATATGGGTGGTTTTACTAGTGATTCTGTTTCTTGGTGACAAGAATTATCTGTAGTTTTTTAAATTTTCTATAGATAACTGTAGAAAAGTTTATTTCTTTTCCGTAACTAAATTTTGATTTTATAAGGTAAACCTTTCCTTCCTCTCATATATATATATATATATATATATATATATATATATATATATATATATATTTGACTTAGTTTTCATTTCTAACATTTCTAATTGTGTTTCTTTAAAAGTCTCAATTTTTGTTCCAAATGTTTATTGGCTACTGCTGATTTTCCAATCATACTTCTGTTCTTTTTTTCTGTGTTGCTGACTTTCTTCCCAAGATCCTGGATTGACTCCATCTCCACGTCTGTATGTTCTTTTGGGCCATTGATCATGTTCATCTGTAACTTTTGTAATGTTCACCAATTGCATTATCTTTGATAGAACAAGGAGTTATGTTCTTTTGGGGTTATCATATTGCCTTTCTTTTTCATGTTTCATTGTGGCAATTTGTACATCTATTGATTTGTATACCTATTCTACTTTTTTTTTTTGGTGGGGGGAGCTATTTTACTGTTCAGCCTAAACCAACCCTACCAGTGCCACTGAGCAAGAGCAGAAAAGCAAAGCTATTCAGCTTTGGACTCCTCTCCTTTTCTCAGGTATCCTTTTCCTTGTTTGTGGATTCCCAATGGCCTTTGCTCTCTCTCTCTGGAAGAGAGTCTACTCCTAAATCCAATTCTGTTATTTATTGGTTCAAAGGACCCAGAGTGTAGCCTCCAATTTTAACTGGAATCCCCATCTGCTATAAATGGGTTTTTGATAACAAACTTAAAGTACAGAATTGGCTCTTTTTTTTCTTTTATATATACTGAAAATAACAGACACAATAGATTGTACTATACACCACTGGTCAACTTCACACAGAAGCAGGGACTCCAGAAATCTAGACTGGCTAAACAAAGCTTAACTCAAGCTAGTTTATACATTTAGAGCCAGTGAGAGGCCAAACCTGACCAGCTGAGTTTGACTTCCTGGATCCACAAGGTAGAAGAAGAGAACTGACTCTCACAGTTGCTCCTTATCCACAGAACCATCCCATTCTTCTAGATGTACTTTTAAATTACCTCTCAGACTATCAAAGCACATGACAAACAAGCACATACAATAAAGGAATATTTATTCTGTATCGGGCCTCACATGCTAAGTGTAATCATTACAGGGAAAAAAGAAATGAGAGATAATGTTCTAAGCAAAATTTATTTCAGTTAATTATTTTAAGCAATTTTGTTATAATAATAGAAAGCTGATTAACATGAGATTGAACAAATATAACTTCCATAACCTTAAAAATATTATATGAAATAAACCCTCTCATTTATTCTTAAAATTTCCAAGAGTTACTTTTATTTCATTTTCTTCTGTTCAAGTAGAAGTAAAAATTTGGTATTCTAAGAAATGTTGTATATAGTATAATGCTTCTGTATAAAGTTGCCTACTTATGCAGTGTAAAAACAATTCTGAAGCAGTATGTGAAAGAGTATTTCTACCTAGATAATACTGCTGTTTCTTATGATAAAATTATAACTGTTTTCTACATTGCTAAAATTCGTTAAATAATAAAAAATTATAAATAATAATGCAATCATTATTCTCAATATAAAATGATACTGAAGAAAGCCCAAGTAATGCATTTACATTGCAACTTAAAGGCAAGGATAGCTAGATAGCTCAGTGAATAAAGTTCTTGCCACACAAGTCTGGTGACCTGATGAAATCAATTGAAACCCATGTAAAAGTGGAAGGAGAGACTGGCTCTACATAAGCATCATGGTACATACACATATTCATACATAATAATACATATATATTTCTTTAAACTTGAAAGAAAGGCAAAACCCATTTTGGCTCTTAACCTGGAAGGTAGAACCCTTTTCAGAAACATTACTTTGGAACAAGCAAGGGAAAAAGATAAGAGTATCGACAGCAAATATTTAGGAAGAATTGTATTTAAAGTATGGCTGAAATGGAAAGGAAAACACATGGCTGACTATGAGGTACTGAAATGAGCCCTAGAGAAGTTAAGAAAAGCCTAGCTTTATTTTGTGTTGTCAAAAACTGGCAGCTTGGGACTCAGTGGAGAGTGTGAGACTGAATGTGTAGTCAGGAGTCACCACAATGAAGTTAGCTCAAACAGTCACAGTTGCTGAGCCACCGTATGAAGAGAACAAATGAAGGGAAACGAATTCGTGTAAGAATCCATGTCCTGATCAGACTAGTTAAATTCTGTCAGCCTTTCTGATAAACACAATTTACCAATTAACAGAATAGCAAGCTGATGGTTCATAATTAGATTTCTTTTATTTTCTAAAAGACTAACCAAGACAAGAATATACCTTCTTTTTCATTGTTCAAAAGTGACTCATGAAATTTTTGCAGATCCTGGTGAGGAATGGGGGGGAGGGAGGGAGATATTGCTTAATTTTTATCATATATGTATCCAAAACCATAATCCAACTTAGTCCTCTTGATTTCTTCATTCTGCTATGTAATCTAAAGATGTAGCCTTTCCATAAATTTCAATATTGTATAAAATTTTAAAGTCATATGTATAATTGGTTCATTAACATTAAATGTTTTAATACATGAGAATTAATTCTTGAATAAGTTACAAAGTTTATTCTTGGGTATAAGTTATAGGAGGGGCTTTTTAGTTTTGATTTTTACTTAAAATGTGATTGTAAACTGCATGAATACTTTACATGTCCTAGTATTACAATATAGCATTATCTCTGACAGATAGTATAATACTGCATGATGGTAGGGTGTTATTAGAGAAATACGTATGTGTGGACCTATTTTTCTACACCACCCAAATTAAGTGGCATGGCACATTTATGCTAATTAATCAGTTTGATATTTTGCATTTTTTTCTTTCTTTTTTTTTTTTTTTTTAAGAACAGACTAGGCAATCAATTCAGAAAGTGTTACAAAAGGAGGCAAACCTAAAGGAAGAAAAAAAGGGGAATATATTAGGTAAACATATCCTGTTATGAAAATACCTCAGAATGGAAAAAAATGTGCAGAATAATATGTCTTAATAGCACTAGTGGAATTATTCTCAATTCTACAAAATTCCACATGTATGAAAATGATGATATATTGTTTTCTCATGAGTTCCACTTTACTTCCTCTCATTATTATTACAATTGCCTTTTTTCCATAAATTTTTCTTCCCTTTCCTACTTTTACATTTTCCTCAAGCCTCCCCCTTTTAAAAGTAGACTATTATGACCACATTTAACTTTATTACTTTTTGTTTAGTAGGGGGTTGTTCATGTGTGGGTGTGTGAATATGGCACACTTGTGTTCAAGTTAACCTTGGGTGTCCATTGGGAGCTACAACCCTTGCTTTTTTTGTATGCTTAATACATTTAGTTATATGTAGGATGCAGGTCACATGCCACCACCTACATGTGGAGACATGATGATAACTTGCAGAAGTTGGTTCTCCCATTCTATACATGATATGGGCACCAGGAACTGAACTCAGGTTCTCAAGGATGTCAGCATGTACCTTTATCAGCTGAGCTGTCATGCATGCCAGCTCAGGCCTGCTTATGAGACAAGGTCTGTCACTGGAACCTAAGACTCATTGATTAGGATAAGCTAACTAGTGATGTGCTCAAGAGACCTGCCTACATCCATTTTTCCATGCTGGAATTATGAGCACAATTCCAAGACTATCTTTCTTCTTTTGAGAAAATCAAAAGACAAACCTTTATCCAAACTAACGAAAAAGCAGAGAGAGAACATGCAAATTAACAAAATCAGAAACAAAAAGGGGAACATACCAACGGACACAGAGGAAATCCAGACAATCTTCAGGTCATACTTTGAAAACATGTATTCCACAAAAATTGAAAATTCAAAGGAAATGGAAAAATTTCTGGATAACTATCACTTACCAAAATTAAATCAAGAACAGACAAACAACTTAAATAGACCTATAACCCACAATGAAATAGAAGCAGTCATCATCGAAAGCCTTCCAACAAAAAAAAGTTCAGAGCCAGTTTCAGTGCAGAATTCTACCAGACATTCAAGGAAGAACTAATACCAATACTCCTCAAATGTTCCACAAAATAGAAACAGGAGGTTCATTGCCAAACTCTTTTTATGAGGCCACAATAACCTTGGTACCCAAGCCTCAAAAAGACACAACTAAGAAAGAAAACTACAGACCAATATCCCTGATGAACATCGATGCAAAAATACTCAATAAAATACTGGCAAACCGAATTCAAGAATACATCAGAGAAATCATCCACCATGACCAAGTAGGCTTCATCCCTGGATTGCAGGGATGGTTTAACATACGAAAATCTATCAACGTGATCCACCATATAAACAAACTGAAAAAGAAAAACCATATGATTATCTCCCTAGATGCTGAAAAAGCCTTCGACAAAATTCAATAATAAAGGTCTTGGAGAGATCAGGGATAACAGGAACATACCTAAACATAATAAGAACAATATACAGCAAACCAACTGCCAACATCAAACTGAATGGAGAGAAACTTAAGCCAATTTGTCTAAAATCAGGAACAAGACAAGACTGCCCTCTCTCTCCATATCTCTTTAAAGCAAACTTCAGAGATAAACTGTATCATAAGTCAAACAGACTTAGCAGATATTAAAGAATATTCTATCCAACAATTACAGAATACACATTCTTCTTTAGCAACCCACAGAACTTTTCCCATGCACAATATATCTCAATTTAGTTCACAAAGAAGATGAAATTTTGAAATAATTTCTTGTTTCTTATATCACAGTAGGATCAGGAAGTCAAGGTCATCCTTGGTTACAAAGCAAATTTGAAACCAGCCTGAGTTTCCCACTTTGCTTTAAAATTGAAGAAAAGTTTAACATGCCAAACAAGCCTTAGAAAAACAAATATCACATTTTCTCTCATATATGGATTCTAGAAAAAAATTAATTTAAATATATGGAAATGTTACCTATCTGTTGGAAGGAGAAAACTGAGCCCTACAACGATTTTCTACCCCTACATCTATAAGATAGCATGAACATGAACACAAAATAAATGTAAAAAGAAAAGTTAACCATAAACCTATTATAAGACTGCCCACCCAATCAAGGTATTTACAAAAATAAACAATAACAAAAGGAAAACAAATATCACCTAAAAGCTTTATAAATGAATTCTCAGAGTAGTTATCCTTAGATTATACAACTAGGAACAAAACAGAGCAGTGAATGAACATTTACCAAGCTGAAGATGATTTATGAACGTTCACTGTATTGATAGCTGGAGAGATATACACATGACAAAACACATCACACCAAGTGTTTTACAGCTATGCTGCTTGTTTTGTCAAGTATATCTCAATAGACTTAATTATTATAAAGTGTGAAACTGTACATAGCAAATTTTAAATAAACCAGCAAAATCTTATTATTTTAGAGTAAAATGATACTTGGATAAACCTGTGATACCATAATACACTATGAAAATTACATGATTATATATTGAAATATACCACACCTTAGCTTCTTCCTCTTGAGCCTTCTTCACAATTGCTTGTAGCTGTACCTCTCGTTTAAATTCAGCATGAAGTAATTTCTCTTCCATCATCCTACGCCGTTGATCTAGTAATTCTTCCTTCCACTTTCGAACATCTTTTTCCTATGTATGACAATTTATCACATCATTAAATTCAAAATATTCAGTAATTCAGCAGAAGACTAAAGATAAATGGAAAAATTCATGAGTATGACTAATGATTAAAACCCAACTACAGAGCCAAAATACAGCTTCCACAATTCTCTGGCTACCTAATAACTGCATACTATTGGCAACAGTGTAGCTGATGTCTCAATTTTCTTATCTATAAAAAGGAGAATAGTACTCAGCCCTCAACAATACATTTATATCACCTCCTCTAAGGCTCAGGAATATTGCAAAACAGGAGACAGTAAGAGCTGGGTGACAGAGAGAAGGTCTGCAAAATGCTATCTTCTGAGCACTGCACAGCCCAGATTATGAACTATCAGCAGTTCCTGATGCCTGCATGGGGCCTGCACAAAACAAAGCCTGTCAACAGTCAGTCATGAAAGGGGGGGGGTCATGGGAGCACACCTCTCCATGGGGGAACTATTTGCTATTAATGGCCACCTGGAAGTGGAGTCATGTCTTTAGTTGTGTGCTTACTTAGTAAGCCCACCAAGCTTTAATGGATAGTTCCACACCCATGGTCACATGGATGTTCCTGATAAAACCTAACAGGTCACAAAACAAAAAGACATAAATGTGAAAAATGGGACTATTGGGATGGAGGTAAACAGAGGCTGGAGGGAGATAAGAGAAGTGAGAATTATAGTAATCAGAATGCATACATACAGGTATGAACTTGACAAAGAATGTGTATGTATGTCATTAATAAAATCATACTCTGACAAGGGGGTAAGGATTAAAAAAACAGTACCTAACTGGGTTGTTTTGAAGATATAATTGAATGGATTAACCTCTTATAACAGTGCAGTAGATGTGACTGTATCTGCAGATTATCAACGCATTGAACCATGAGATATTCAGAATGAACACTACTTATGATATTTGGTGTTCATCATCAAGCACCTATGCAACAAACCTCTTGTGATGAAGGCTAGGGTAACTATGACAGAAAGCCCAACGCAACTGTGGGCCACAGCAATTCATGGACTGCAGTTCTTGACTGAAAAAAGGAAAACACAAGCTGAATACTAATGTTCATTTCTCTACTTCCTGACTACAGATGTAGTGTGAACTGCAGTGTCAGCTCTTGCCTCTATGACTTCCATGCCATGACTGGACTGCACCTCAAACTACATACCAAAATAAACTCTCCATTCTTAAGTTGTTTTGTCAGCATTTTGTCACAGCAGTGAGAAAAATAATTAATATAAGGTGTATCTCTTTCCGTTAAAAAATTATCATTTTTCTATAAAATGATCTATAATCACTAAAGAATACTTTTTTATTCTTAACATTTCAAATAAGAAACGTATTCAGTGTATTCAGTGCCCTAGCAACTCAGATTCACTTAAGAAGGCAGATCTACATGAGTAGAAAAAAATGAATGTAACAGTTGGATTTTATCTAAACTCCATAATTACATGTTGAAACACATAAACAACTATGCAAAAAATATTACTATACTAGGAATTACTCTTTAAAATCTGAGCTCTGAAAACTGTTCTTCATGTGATACTGAAGACACTTGCCCTCTCACAGATACAGTTTCCACATCTGAAAAGTGGTGCACACCTGTACTGTTTACCACCGGTTATGTGGTCAGATGAAACCCTTTACTTAGAACATACAAAATTGGAAAATGGAATTTATACCTGAAATTAGAAAATACACAAGAAAGATCAAATTAAGCCAAAGAATCTCCACAATTATAAAAATTTCAACAGGTCATACTTTGAAAACCTATACTCCACAAAATTGGAAAATTTAAAGGAAATGGACAATTTTATGGATAGATAGATATCACTTACCAAAATTAAATCAAGAACAGATAAGCAATTAAATAAACCTATAATCCCTAACAAAATAGAAGCAGTCATCAAAAGTCTCCCAACCAAAAAAAGCCCAGGGCCAGTGCAGAATTCTACCAGAAATTCAAGGAAGAGCTAATACCAATACTGCTCAAATTGTCCCACACAATAGAAGTAGAAGGTATGGTACCACACAACTGTAGCCAGCAATCTCAAGGCAGATGCAGAAGGATAGTAAATCCTAGCTCTTAAATTTGCTTCTGCAAATCTGCTGCTGAATTTCTCTACTAATACCTTAATTTGGTCACATTATTCTTTTTCTCCCAAGTTTTCTTTTTGTTGAATAGGAAAAATATACTCAACAAAGTAATTTACAGTTTCTACATGTGCCTTATCAATATCTATACTTACCTCCTCACAGTCAGGTGACATACACCTAAAGGATGCACATTCATACAGCCAGGTGACATCTGCTATACTAGTCCAAAAACCACAATTAAAGTAGTAAGCCCAATTCATTCAACATAACTCTGAATTCAACATAAGCTCAAACTCTGATTACTACTAGCTCCATGGCCATATGACAGCTATACAAACCTTTCTAGTTAGTCCCTGACTTACTCACTTTGTTGAGTAAATAGCATCTATGTATTATCTGTGATTAGGTTGTTACAAGAGCTCAAAGATAATACAGTATACTGCTCAGTATACTTAAGTACTAGGTAAAACATTAACTATCCTCTTTATATATAAAACAAATTATGTTCTCTGACATCTATGGTGTTATCTTGGTTTTAGAAATAAAGCCTGTCTGATAGTCAGAGAATGGAGCTTGCTTTTAACCAACCATATAGGTCTGGAGGTCTGTACAGACAGACAAAAAGTGAGACTGCTAGGCAGAAACAGGATATAAGCAAGGAGAACAGGAACTTGTTTTCTCATCTGCTGAGATGCAAAGGAAATAAGGTGTGGTTGTGGCTTGTTCCTTCTTTCTGATCTTTCAGCATTTTCCTCTATATCTGACTCCAGGTTTTTATTATTGACACACACCAATTAAGAACTCCATTTACATCTGGGTGTTCAATGGGGGGCTCGAACCCACAACCCTGAGATTAGGAGTCTCATGCTACATTTTGGCACCCATGTGGTCAAAACCTTAACAGCAGGACAGGGGCAAACTGCCCTACGTGGCCCCAGCCCAGCCCTAAGAAAGCCAACCAGCTGCTGTGGGTAGGCCATGCCTGACTCCCTGCTCCTCCCCTCCACCCATCGCCAGAGACATACACTAACCCTTGAACCTTTTTCTTTGTTGAATTTGGTGCTCTGACCCAGCTTTTATTTAAACCAAAGGGCCATACTCCCAGACCTTGAGACTTCTCAGAGCCAGCACACTGGGCACAGTTTCAGCCCATTGCATCCTGATCAGAGATTGGCAATAAGTACCCACAGGTTGCTCCTTTTTTCTCTTTCTGTTTAAAAAGAATCCATTAGGTTTGGTTTTGTTTGAGGTTTTGCTTAGAACCCAAAGGTGAACAACATTGGGAGAAGTCAGACAAGAACTTCAGTGTCCTTGGACTTGCCTTGACAGTACACCTATGATACCTGTAGGCCAAACATCGTCATTGCAACTAAAAAATATGGTCATTAAGGGCAAGGACAACAATTCTGAGAATTTAATTTGAGATAAATTACCAAATTTTTACATTTTAAGCTTGTAAATAAATTAAAATTTTTTATAATGTGTTATCTACTGCTGAAACAATGGTGGACAATATTACCATCAAGGAATTTAAAAATCTTTTGGCTTCTACTATGGATGGAATTTTAAGAGGTATATGACCTGCCTGGGATGTATACACTCTTAGCCATGATTGCTATTACCTTGGTAATCCATATCATATCCTTAAATAAATGGTTTGATAATAGAGATAAGAATGAGGAATTTATGAAAATTACATAGACTTTACAGACTGCTATTGAAAGCTTAGCAAAAAGGAACATGGTAATAAACTCTTAACAGAAAAAAAAATCATTCCATATCTAAGGGTAATGACAAAATGACAAGCTTGCAGATAGAACATTGTTTTTGGAAGATAATCTGCATGCCATCCAAATAATCTCTAAGGATGAGACTATCAATCTTGGGAATCATATGTAAATGATAAGACTAAGAAACTGACTGATTTACTGGAAGATTTACCAGTTCAGGAAGTTCAAACACTTCAAAAGACAATGGTGCATAGATTATAGGCCATAGAAGACCTTCTTAAGTCTGATACACCAGGAGTTAAGGTACAAACTAAAGAGAATAAAAAACAATATCACCAGTAACTTTCAGAGTCAGAGATGACTTACCAAAGGTCGTATCATCTTTACTTGCTATGGTCTATCCTGTTACTATTACTCCAGAGCCAGCAAATAATGAATACCCAGAAAGATATACTTAAGAAAATTTTAAAAGATATTAAGAAAGAATTATATTCTTCATGACATGCATTTATCAATTGTGAGGTAGGTAGTAAAGGGCTACATGAAATAGAGTAACTCCAAAAGACTGACTTCAATTAATCTCAGCAGTTCTAGAACTTGGTTCACAGCAGCAGTGGAAGTCATACTGGAGGGATGAGGCTAAGGCCCTTGAACACCAAGGCAGAATCAAAGGTTATAGGGCTTCCCAAGATCAAATTCTTGGTGAGGGTCATTATACTGATGCAGACACTCAAGAACATACAATGAACACATCTTGTCCCTATGCCATACAGCAGCCTTGAATGCTTGGGACAAGATTCAAGAACCAGGGAAAAGAATTGAGTCCTATACTAATGTTATACAAGGTCCAAAAGAACCCTTTAGTCACTTTTTTGCAAGGATTGACTAAGCTATACAAATAGGGGTAACAGATCCAGAAGCTAGACAAGTACTCATTGAATCTCTAGCTTTTGAAGGTGCTAATTTAGAATGCAAAAAGTGCTTGGGCCCTCAAGGATCAGATCAGCATCAATGGATGAATGGATCCTGCACACAGCCAATGTTGAGTCTTTTGACTATAACACTGAGGTAGGAGAAGCATTCTCCAAAGGTATGAGGAAACAAATGTTTTAATTGTGATAGAATAGACCATCTGAGAAGAAATTGTAGAGAAGG